ATATATAAAAGTCACGATTTCTATAAAATTGACGAAATCGTGGAAAACCTTACGGATAACACACTTGATTACAGCTTTCGAATTGATCAATTCCATCGCATCGAATTTCTTTCTCCTTGTTGCGATTATAAATATTCCATTTTCTCGATCGATGAAATCGACACGCTTTTGTATTGGACGAAAACTTCTCAGATGCATATCTTTCTTTTTACAATTAATCGTAAAACTTTTTTCGCGCCAGGTGTACACGCGAAAACTAAAATTGCGTTACGAGTCTTAAACTGTAATCCAATCTTACAGTTTCCGTGGACAAGCCAAATCTCTCTCGCCTTCGGTTCAATTTGCCGACTAATTCTCACCTTGAGGCCTGGTGAACACATTTCTGCAACGCATTTCGTTGTTTCAATCTCCGCCCGTGCAATTTGCCACGCTCGAGCGTTATTTGAAAACTTCTCTCGTTTCTGTTACCGGGACAAAATATTGTCACGATTTCCGTTTCTTCGATCGATGGATATTTTTTCCAAAGAATTAAACTCGGAAACCATACGAAATAAGGGATACGAATAAAAATTGTTACAGATATATATATATATATATTTTTTTTAGGAGAAAATCTCAACGCGGTTCCATTTCTCCAGGGACAGAAGTGACGAGGAATCGATCGAGGAGAATTCTGGTGTCGCTCGTAGCGTTGTATTCGTTTAAGAGTTAGTTGCTATCTAGCGAGATCGAGCTAAACTTCCCCTCTCCCCCCATCAACAGTTAACTCCGTAGAATTCGCAAGTTCGAAGTAGAAATTCTATTCGACATTCTCTTAACCACCCTTAGTTCCTGCATTTCCAATCGAGTCGAGCATCATTCGGGTAATATAAATTTTCCAATTTAATTACACCATCATTGGCGCATCCTAAACACGAATATTAATATCCTTCGACGTGTAACGCTTCTCTCATTCATCATTCGATAATTTCATAATTTTTACTCGATAATTCGATGAAAGTTACACTCGGTTGGAGTGTAATGAGATAAAAAGTTAACAGTGTCATATAAAGTTGGTCGAATAGCGAATATTAATATCCTTCGAAATGTAACGCTTCTTTAATTCATCACTCAATATTTCCATAACATTTTTAATTCTTACTTAAGACTAGATAATTTAATCAAAGTTACATTCGGTTGGAGTGTAATGAGATAAAAAGTTAATAATGTCAGGTAAAATTGATCTTCTGATCGAATAACGAATATTAGTATTAATATAGTTCGACATGTAATACTTCTCATTCAATATTTCCACAACAATTTTTACTTAAGACTCGATAATTCAATAAAAGTTATAAGTTGAAGTTTAATGAAATAAAATGTTAACAATGTCAGGTAAAATTGGTCCTCTAATCGAATATTAGTATTAATATCCTTCGACATGTAACGCTTCTCTAATTCATCATTCAATATTTCCAATTTTGCAATTTAATTACGTCTTATCATTGGCGCATTTATCCTAAACACGAATGTTAATATCCTTCGATATGTAATACTTCCTCATTCAATATTTCCACAATAATTTTTACTTAAGACTCGATAATTCGATGAAAGTTACACTCGGTTGAAGTATAATGAAATAAAATGTTAACAATGTCAGGTAAAATTGA